TAAAAATAAAAACCTCTAAATTGAAAGCTCTAAATAATCCTATTGAAGACAATCTGGAATACTTCTGAACCTCAAAGAATGAAACGCCAAAATTGCTCAAAAATAAAAAAAGGGAGTATCTTAAATATAGAATAATAGAAGTAGAAACTAATAGAATAGAAAATAACGTTAGAGACATGTACAAAGGTATAAACAGATCATGTAAATGTTTAGAGCTCGTCACGTCTGAAATTAGGGATGAAAATAACAATATTCTGATTGATGCGGTAGACACATTAAATAAGTTTAAGAACCATTTTGACAATATTTGAAATGCGGGAAATTATAATCTGTGTCCTCCTTCTGAGTACCAGAGTGCTGAATCGTTGATAGAAGAACTGAATTAAGAAGAAATTGAAATAGCTATCGGAAAATGAAAATCTTACAAAGCAGCGGAAACCGATAATATTCTTAGTGAACTAGTTAAGGCATGCGGAGAATTTGGAGTTTCTAAAATACATTTATTTGTTGGTTAAAAAGATCTGGGAGAATGAGAAATTACCTGAAGAATGGAAAGAATCTATTCCTATTCCGATGCACAAAAAGGTTACGAGGACGGATTGTAATAACTATTGAGGAATTTCCCTCCTTTCGGTTTGTTATAAAATATTCACTTTAATCTGAACTAGTCGAATCATGGAATACGTCGAGGAAATTATCAGTGACTATCAATGCGGATTTAGAAGGAACCGTTTAACTATTGATCAAATATCTTCTTTATGGCAAATATTAGAGAAACAATTAGAGTACAACGGCATTTTTCAACAGCTGTATATTTATTTCAAAAATACTTACTATTCTATTGACCACCAGAAGCTGTACAATATTTTAATCGAGCAGGGGATTCCAAAGAAATTAGTAAATCTAGTTAGGATGTTCTTGACAGAAATGCTCAATAAATTAGTTAGAATGGGTAGTTATTTATCCGAAAAGTTTGAGTTTAGTCTTGTTCGGGTTAAAAACAAGATGATTCCCTTTCACCTGTCCTGTTTAATTTGTCATTAGAACATGCCATTAGGGAGATAATGCGTACTGAAATAGGGTTGGATCGGTGTGGAACAACACCCGTGCTTGGCTATGCGGGTGATCTGGTCCAGTTAGTCAAAGACACGGAAACTATAAAACAAAATACGACAACGTTAATGAAACCTGGTAAAGAACTAAGGCTCGAAGTAAATATGGATAAGACAAAATATATGGTTAGCTACAAAAATGGTGATATCGATATAGACGATAATATGTTTGAAAAGGTAGAGAAGTTTAGGTATCCAGGGTCTAAGATAACTAGAAAAAACGAAATTGAAGAAGAGATTAAGGTTAGGCTGAAGGCGGGAAATGCTTGTTATTTTTATGTGACAAAATTACTTAGTTCGATCCTCTTGTCCCGGACTTAAAAACTTGCTGCTCATGTGATGTTTCCCCTTCTTTTTCTACGATGGTATTTATTTGGATGGCTCTAGACAGCCAGTCTGCCCCTAAATTTTCCTTACCTGACTTGTAGGTTACTTCCATGTTGTACTGACTCAGGAATTGTTTCCTCCGAGTGACTCTTCTTTCACGTTTCCTACACCTAGCAGAGGTCGATGATCAGTGTGAACCTTAAATATATGACATAAAATGGCTCCACTGCCCATACTCTGCCAAGGAGTTACCTTTCCAAATCGCTGTACTTGGCCTCCGTTTTCTTGAGCCTCCTAGTTGCATACACCACCATTTGTTTGCCTTTAGTTCCTTTCTGAGCAAGTACTGCCCCCAATGCGTACTCACCTGCATCCTTGGTGATAAATGTTTCTTCAAAATCAGGAAAAGCTGTACTGGCTTACTACTACTGTAGTACTGGCTTGTCTTGTAACTGTGCCATATACTTCCTCACATTGTCTTCTATCACCGGTGTGATTAATATTTTCTGTTCTTTCTTCAGCAGATTGTTGAGGGGTGCCAAGTGTTCCACCATCTAAGCTTGATTTCTCACATGACAATTTTAGCCCAAACTACCTCAGCCTGTCAAACAAGCGGAACAGGTGTTCAATATGCTTGCCCCCATCCCTGTTGAAGATTAGGTGGTCATTCATGTACATTTGGCAGAATGCTTCATCCAGTCTTCTCAAGAACTCGTTCATCAACCTCTGCAAGGTTATAGGAGCAATCTTCAACTCAAATAGCATTCGAGTATCCTCGCAATGTCCCCTTTCAGAGAATACCGTTTTGTGTTGGTCCCTGGGCATCTTTATCTGGTAATAGTCTCCCTTCAAATCTAGAGTGCTGAATATTGTGGCCCCACTCAGCCTGCCCAAGATATTGAATCTTGGGATCGTATAGTTTTTATCCAGGGTGTTCTCGCTAAGCTTTCTGAAGTCTACTACTATCCTATATTTTTCCTGGGGGGCTGTTATATGGCAAAGTACTGTCGACGATGATTCCCTGGTTTTTCAAACTTTCTAGCTCTTCCTTAATTTGCCATTTCAAAGTTTGTGGATAACATCGTTTCTTCACGTATGTCACCTTTTCTTGTTTTAACACGATTTCATGCATTGTTTTTCCTGTTCTTATGTACTTCTTTCCTAAATATAAAATCCACATATTCCCTTTTTGTCCTCTCTCCCCAGTGTTCTGCCCACTCACTTTGCCCTCTACTCTGAATTTCTTGCATCGACACTTCTTCCCTCCTTTTCGGATGACCCAACGCTCACCCTTACTGTATACGTTTGTTCCCACTTTGCCTAGCAAGTCACAACCTATTATATCCTGTATTCTCTCGTCATACTTTCCACTATGAAGGATGACCCAGTTTCCAGTTCCTAGTCACCCATCTGTTCTAATCTAATTCCACTTCCCCTTCTACACTTCTACACAAGGGCCACTCAAGGTGATTAATTTACACTTACCTACCTGTATTTTTGGTATTCTCTCTCCCTTACACAACTGCTCTAATGTGCTCCTCCGACTCATCATTTTCTATCCACTAGACACTTCAATCTACTCTTATAATTGGCAAACCAATGCATTCGCCTTCTATGTTATTTATTACTGTGTGTTTTTTCATCTCCTCTCCCTCGCCTTTTAGGCTATATAGGGGTTTTCCTGGGTGAGAGGGTGATGGTGGAGGATTAATTCCAGAGTTGAAAGACTTAAATGCATGTATCTTGGTTATCAGGTTAGCCAACTTGGCCACTCCGCCCCTTATTACCATGTAGTTGCTGCTTCTTTCCCATTCACCTCATTCTGCTGCTGTTCCTGCCTCCTCAAGTTCGGTTCCATCTTGGACATTCCTGATGATTCGTCCAACTATGATGCTGCTCCGTCTCCTTCTCTACAATTTTTGTGCATTAACTTCCATCGGTTCTCTGCAGCTTATTTCTCCTTACCTACTTATATAGGGGCATTGCCTCAAAACATCTGGTTCTGGTAGGCAATGTGCTACCAGATGTACCACCTTCCCGCATCCGTGGCATTTCCTATCATCACTCATTCAATTACTTATTTCCGTTTCTGTAGGACCTTTTCCCTCTCGTTGCCGTCCTTTCTCTTCAATTCCTGGGCGCCTTCCACAAAACTCTTCACACAGGGTAGACCTTTCTTTCTTGTGTCCCTTGCCAACTGTATTTTGAGTATGATGGACAGGAACGCCATTCTGGTCTCCACTGCTGTATTCACTGTCTCTCTCATCTTCTCAGTTATGTTGTTTGAACCAGGCTAATTGGGCACTTCCTACTGTTCATTTACCTGATGGGATTGTTTTCTCCAACACTCCAAACACCTTTTTCAATCTCTCTTTCACAGTGGACCATGGGATGTCTTGGTTGTCCTGTATCATGTTTAAGACGCTCTTCTTAACTTGGCACATCAGGGTCGGTCTCAATAAATTAGCGTCTATCGGATCTATCAAGTTCTCCCCCTCTTTAGCTTCTATAAATGACATCATGTGGTCGTCTCACTTAAGAAAGTGATTTTGCTCACTGACTCCACTGTCAAACCTCTCCAGATTAGATATTCCTTTTCTTATTTCTTGTGACCTCGCCGTTCTAATCTTCAGCCATTCTAGGTTAGTCGCATGTGCCACCACTAAAGTTTCCATTGGCATTCGGGGAATCCACGATGGTGTGGTCAGTAGTGCAGGGTGTAATATTCCTTCCTTTTTCTTTTATTATTTCTGGTTATGAGAACAAATTCAACTTATCAACTCAATTTCTGAGCCCGGGTTTCGGCATCACTTACAAACGTGTTGGCGAGAAATATTTAAATATTAAATTTAAATTCATACCATTATCGTTTTTTAAAAAAGGATAATGGTATGCAAACAAACACTCACTTTTTCACAAAAGACTGGCTTTATTTCATTTGTAATCCCCTATATATATAGTATTCGCCTTGTTAACCTTTACTATATAGGATTAAACACTATATTAACGGACTACTAACTACAACTTTTAAAAAAATAGTGATAATTGAGTATATATATATATATATATATATATATATATATATATATATATATATATATATATATATAAATTTATATTTATGGAATAGGTGTCACTAATCAACATTTTCAATAAAAATTTGATTTATTTTTGTGAAGTACCCTCAAAATATTTTTAAATAATAATTTCCTAGAAGTGGATGTATTAACTTTTGATAGAATGCTACTCAATTATCACTATTTTTTATTCACTGAGTAGAGTAATTATGGAAAAGAGGCTAGTTTATCCTAGTGAATGATGATTCATAAACAAGAACTAGCTCATGCAGTGAGCGAGTAGATCTGTTATAATTCCTTAAAAGATTAATTTTGACCATGTCTAATGGTTTCAAGAAATTTACATTAGTTCTATGAACTTGGACAAGTAAAATTGACAAATACTGTCATTCAAATTAAATATATATCCTATATTTTCCATAATATATAAACACATTTTTATCTTATTCTTTTATTTATTTATTTATTTTTTTGTCATTTCCAGGTCATTTGCATATTGGGAACATATTGTTAGATGGAAATTCTGTTAAACTGTTTGGAATTGAAAATACATTATTTGGTTTACCATTTTATTATAGAAATTATTTAATAAACTGTAGATGTATTGATTCATTAAAGTCTGTTGATGTTTATTGTTTTGGATTGACCCTGTATGAAATGTTGTTTGTGAAACCATTTTCTAAGGATATTCCTGAGAACTGTCCACCTGATTTAAGTAGGTTCATATCAGGATGCATTACCAATACGTTAGTTTTTTTAGGTTGATTACATTTACCCAAATTTTATTTTCAGAAAACGTTTTGGAAACAATTTTGATTTCAAAAGTTGCTAAAAATAGTTTGCCTACAATCAAAGACCTTCTAAATTTACCTATCTTCAGAAGACCACCTCCAAATCCCCAACCTTATTTTAAAATATTACAAAATGTTTTGGAGAAACTATCAGTAACATCTGGTAATACGATGGCTCGTCTTAAATTGGACAGTGAAAAGGTAATAATTATTATTATAAGAATAATTATGTATAGCTAATATTGTAATTCATACAACACATCTATTGTCAAATTCAGCATTTGATTCTTATTATACATTACTTGTTAATTTTTTAGGATTTCAACCCCATCCTAAAAACTTTTTTGTGTTCTCTTTGTCCTCATTTAAAAATTGTTTTCTTCTGTTACCATATAAAATGTCTACTTATTTTATTCCTCTTAATTTTGTATGCATAACTAGATAACTATATTGTACAGGCTGTTCTGTATGTAAAGAATGGCAGAAGACATTAAGAACTATAAACAAAAATCATATAAACTATTATGTTCCAATTTTCTGCAGAAAAGCAGAAAATTTATGTAAAGTTTTTTTTTTTTTTAACTAGTCATGTTTTTTGTTGAATAGGAAATGATTACTAAAAAATATTTAATTTAGCATTATAAAGTAAGGCTATATTTTTTTCACCATATTTATTTTGCTTCTACATTTTTTTTTCTCAAAGAAACAACACCAAAAAAAAAAAAATTCAGATGACAATATAAAAATCAGACTACATAGTAAGGTTAATAAGGATTTAAGTAATACTAAAAAAAAAAATTGAAAATAATTAATCTGATATAACTAAAAAAACAGTGATCATGGAATATGCTGATTATGATAATAAAATGAAAAATTTGTTGGACAATGATCTAATATATAAGAAAATTTGACATGACATCTATTGTTTTTTTTTTTTTAATTGCAGGTTTTTTATCAATTGCTCTGATTTTCAACTATTTCTTCACATGCTTTAGCCTGTTTTTCTTGTTATTACCATGGAAAATTTAAAATTGAATGCCAAAATTGCAAGAAATCATTAGTAATTGTTTTCTATTGAAATGAGGAGTGAATGTCATAAAGTGATGTGACCTAGAGTTTCTTTTCTTTTCTGTCCTTATAATGCCTGAATTGGTGAATCATTGATGGCTTATTATATTCTTATCTGCATTTTAAAGACACAAAGCTGTGAGGTTGGAGTTTCCAATTATAAGGTAACATTTATGCTCTCCTCAACCCCCCCCCCTCTCCCTAAGATGTGGTATTGATACTTTTAATAAACAATGCTCATAAGTAATGTTTTCAGTTTTGAGCTACATTCACATGTTTAAAAAATGAGTTGTACTATTCATGGGAAAATATAGTTATTTACCTCAGAAATATGAGTAGCCTTTCTTTCGCAGATATACACAACCAACAATTTGTATCCCAACGATTCAGTGACGATTCGATGAGATCCAACAACTTGTTAAAAGTCAAAATCTCTATTTTATAGTACACCTGAAACTTTACTGGATGGTTCAGTAATTGTTGAGACACCATCTATCTATCTATACTGGCTCTACAAACCGCTTAGTGAGTCATGGCCTCCGTCAACAGCATCCGCCAGGTGTCCATGCTTTGTGCTGCCACCATCCAGTCTCAAACTCCTAGCTTCCTGGCATCTCTGTCCCTCCATCTTAACTTTGGTCTTCCTACTCATCGTGCTCCATGCAGGCTTTCAACCAACACCTTCTTTGGGATCATATTGTCTCTCATTCTGGCCGAATGACCTGCCCATCTGAGACGGCCTGCTCTTATAAAATTGACAACGTTGGTCTCATTTAAAGGTAGAGATCTTGATTTTTTCTCCTTCTCCACTCTACATTCACACATACTGGACCATAAATTCTTCTAAGAATTTTTGTTCGAATATTAGGAGGTCCTGCTTGGCTGTCTTGGTTATTGTTCAGGTCTCTGATGCGCAACTTAAAACCGGTCTGATAGAGTCTTATAGAGGAATACATTGCTAAGCCAGTCACCAGGGTGTTTGTATTGACTCATACCATAATAGCAACGGCTGGCCAATAAAATCCTTTTATTTATCTCTGTATCCATCCGGTTATCAATAGTGATCTGCGAGTCCAGGTATGTGAATTCTGATACCTGTTCAAACCTGAAGGGTCCAAAATTTACTCTAGTGCCATGTCCTGGGGTCTCCTGGGTTACCAACTATTTCGTTTTTTCCTCGTTGCCAGTCAGGACGAGTTTCCTCGCTGAAGCCTCCAGGTATGATTGAGCAATCACTTGCTGAGAGCACCCAATAATGTCTATATCATCAGCAAAAGCGATGAGATGAACAGTCCTATTGAAGATCGTGCCAGATGTTTGTATTTGGGACTCACAAACTGCTTTTTCTAGGACCAAGAGAAAGAGGAGGCATGCCAGGGCATCACCCTGTCTTACACACCTTCTCGTAGAAAATTCCTCCGATACGTTGGCCTTTATTTTAACAACACACACCACCTCGTCCATTGTTAACTTGGTCAGCTTGATAAGCTTGGAGGGGTTGTTGAACTGGCATAATGCATCGCACAACCTTGATGGTCGATTGTGTCATAGGCTGATTTAAAATTGACGAAGAGGTGATGGGTTTTGAGCTTATATTCCTGTCTCCTTTCCAGGATAGTCCTCAGACAGAATATCTGGTCGATCAATGACCTACCTCGTCTGAGCCCCCACTGGTACCGTCTAATCTCTCACACTGCAAACAGCAATAGTCTGTGGAACAAGATATTTGATAGAATTTTATTTGCCCACAGGAGTAGAGCAATACCGTGATAGAGCATTTCAATTAGTTTTCCTTCTTGTGGATCGGGCTTATGACTGTCTTCTTCCAGTCTAAAGGCATTATTTACTCAGTCCATATGATCACCAATAAGTTGTGAAGGAGCTCTGAAGAGCCCATGCTTAAATAGTTGTGCAGGAAGTCCATCAATTCCTGGGGCCTTATTATTTTTTAGTTTGTTGAGAGCCTCACTTACCTCGTCTTCATCAGGTGGTTCCAGGTCATCCGTTCCATCCTGACCTAAGGGCAGCTCTATCCCTTACCTATCTATGCTTTGACCATTCAAAAGCTCCTTGAAATATTTTCTGCATTCTGCTAGGCAGGTAGAACTTCCTACTATCTCCAATGGTCCTTGATTCCTCCAGGTCCTTCAACTCCTGGATAATTCCTTCTCTCTTCTTTACCCGATGCAGCCTCTTTTCTTCCTATAATCTTCGACTGTATCACGTGTGCACCTGTTGATCATCAGCTGGTTTGCTGTATTTTTAACTTCTGTAGCTATTTGGCAGTCTTCATCAAACCAGTTTTTCCTGTTTTCCTTTTCAGCATGCCCCAGTATGGCTTCAGCTGTTTGTTCGATAGATTTGTGACAGCTACTCCAAATGTCGCTTACACTGTCTTCCAGGTCCTCCATGCATCTTAACTGTGAGTCCAGTGCTGCGGCATATGCCTCCCTAGTCTGAGTTTCTTTAAGCATGTCAATGTTAAACTTTTTTGGTTTTGCCCTGACTCTGAGTAGGTTAACAGCAATTCTTGAAGCAACATGGGCGATACTGAGGGAATTGTCAGAATCAACGTTAGCGCCTCTAAACACTCTGACATGATTGATGCTACTAATGTAGCAGGGCTATAATCTCCAGCATTATTCCAGTATGAATGCTCCCAACGATTTCTTCTTTGTCTTCGTCTTTTTCTTACTGTACAGGACAGAATTATAATTCTGTCGCCTGAAGAGTCGGATCATTGATTATTCATCTTTGAAACTCATGTACTTAACTAACAGAGATAATGGATATAAACAGAAGATGCAAGAGGCACGTGCATCCTTGGTGTGAAAGCTCTTTCATCAAGATGTCAAGATCTTCGGTGTGAAAGGGACTTAAAATGTATATAAAGCCGTTGATAACTTTATTGATACATTAATAAAAAGTAATTTCATAAAAAAAAAAAAAAAAAAAAATTAAATTGATTAATCCCAACTATATCACTCCAAGAATACATGGGATTGTAAAGTTACAAACAAAAGTGGTACTCCACTGTGGCCCATTATTATCTTAATGGAGTCACTGAGAAATTAGCAGAATACCTTAATCTCGTATTCAACAATCTAAAGTCTGCCAATAATTATGACGTTAAAAACTCAATAGAGATCAAAATAATTATAGAAAAAATAAAAAAAGTGGATAATGAATATTACTTGGTTAGTTTTGTTGTGAAAAATTTATTTACAAACATTAACATGAAAGATGTAATAAAAATAATAGAAAAAAACTGGGATGAAATAGAACCATACATTAAATTAAAAATCTTATATAGAAGGTAATAAAAAAATACAGCCTTACTTTATAATGTTAAACATGATTTCACCTAAAAAAATAAACACATATTTATTTAATTTAGGTAATTAACAATTATAAATTAAATAAAATTTACTTTATATGAAAGTAGAGTTATCTTTATTAAAATCATTTAATAAGGATTCTTTAGCGGATAAATTATTCTAAATTCTGTTTTTTTATAAAATCATTGATTGTTTGCAATACTTTTTTAACTCCCTCAAACTGGACCACCAATACCCCATTTTTAGAAAAACTTCTTTGCTTAATAAGCTTCAATTTCATAGTAATTGAGTTAAGGTTTGTCCGGATATTATATCTCGGATATAAATTATTCAAAATATTTATTATTTTATATTTTATTTGTTGTTATATTATTTATCAGTTATTCATGCATATCTAATTATAGTCTGTGGGCCAGACCCCCCCCTACCGTGCACCCCCTCCCCCCAACATCAATTTCAAGTTGAAAATCAAGCGACGTTTGTAATTAAACGGCCAACAATAACGCAAAACGTACTGAAATAAATCATCTGGAGAATATATTTCTCTTTCTGAAACACTAATTACTTTTTAAAATATTTGAAGCAGTTCTGTAGAAAATGTACTTAAACGGCAAAGAAGCGGTACAGGCCTCTACCACACCATTCAGTACTCATAAATGGCTTAGTTATAGTGCTATAACAACGTTTTTAGTACATTATATTGAATGTATTAAGGAACAAATATTAATGAAATAATTTAATTCTCAAAAAAAATTAAACAATTTTTTAAAAATTTATTGTTGTATTTATTTTATT